AGGGTTGCGATCCGTTGCCGGACACGGAAAAAGACAAAAAGACAAAAAAAAAAAAAAATGTGAGCAAATCCCTCTCCAAATTGACTTTCCTCTACTGTTATTCAAAAGCCAAATAAAAATCCTTACACTGTTAAGTCTAACTGGCAAAACACTAAGACTTTCAGATTCTGAAATGAACTGGTGTTATTATCTAAGCATACAAGTGGTTTTTTTTTAATGATCCTTTGCTACAATGAAACATAGTAAAAATCCTGTTGGTGTATGATCACTATAAAGCCAAGAGGTTCTACTCTGTCCACAGACTGTAATACTATGAATAGTGTCCTTTCACTCAGCAGCAGCTGGGAACAACGTTGGTTTCCAGGGCAAAGCCTCTGTGTACTTAGTAGCTCTTCCTTAAATCTCATCACAGGTGCAATCCTGCAACTCAATGAGACAGTCCATTTTGTAGACTGTTGAGATTACATCCATGAAATATGAGCTATGATACTGTATTTTGGCTTTTTATTTCCTATCACCCATTAATAAACCATTATTGATAATCAACCACTGATAAAAATTTTTATTGATAAAAATTTATATTATGGCACAATTTTTAAAATGTACTTCTTTTTAAACAATCTGATATAAATGGGGGTCTGAGAAAAGCTAACACCTTATATTAATCCCATCACAGTAGCTAAGAACAGATGCCCTCTTGCCTAATTACAAATGTCTAGGTAATTCTAAAAATTGAGAAGCAACACTTCCAAGAAAAAATTCAATTTTAGCTTTCTTCTCTGCATCAGAATTTCATTAAGAATAACTATTAAAACAACAAGGTCAAGGGTTCAGATCCCCATACTGGCCAGCCACAAAACAAGAAAAGATTATTTAGGCTGGCCAGTGAGCTCACTTGGTTAGAGCGTGGTACTGATCACACCAAGGCCCAGGGTTCTATCCCTGTGGCCATCTACCAAAAAAACAAACAAACAAAAAAAAACTATGCTTTACCACTTTACCAATATCTTGTATATAGTCCCTGCAATTATAATTTTAAGAATTACTTTTGGAGAATTTGGTGTTGTAATAAATACTTTCACAAATTAGGATATGGGAATCTGCTTTCCCTTAAGGACACTTAAACAGCCAGAAATATAACTAAAAAAAATGACAACTCTTTAACCCAAACTATCAAGCATTTTATGTTTTTCCACAGTAACCTCTAAAGCTACTCTTAACCCAAAAAGAATCCACTAAAAGGGTATGAGGATATAATCTACATTATATTTTTTACTGGCTTCAATATCTTGAAACAGTATTTTTGGCTAGGTGATGTGTCAAAATGAAATTCTATTATACTTAATAGATTTGACATAATGTTGGTTAATTAGGAAAGTTTACAAAGATGACTGTTCAATGAGGGCTTTAGCTCACTGAACTTCTAACTACTAAACACTACAAGCTTTGTTCACTCCTACTGTTAGTTATCAAAGGTATGAGACTGTCAAGATGCTGAAGATGGAAATGTCAAATAACCAAAAAATGCTGAATGCGCATCTACTACATACACAGCATTGTCCCAAGGCCCTCAGAGGAGGCTACAATGTCCAAGTAAAAAAAAAATCTTATTTTTCAAACATGCTCCCTATAATGATTATCAACTAAATCCAATTTGTGTACTTGGTAATGTTGAACATAATAAAAACTGGCAACATTTTAAAAATAACTAAATGCTGAAGAAAACTTACCTTTTCCCTTTTTGCCTGAAAATCTGTGATATCTAGGCCACTCCTATTAAGAGGCTGAAAAAAATAAAATACTATTAGAAGAGACATAAAATTCTTAAAAACTTCCTTATACATACATACATATACATATGTGTGTATTTATCTTTTAAAAAGGTTTGAAAGTCAACTTACAGAATTCAGAGGAGAAGAAACAATAGATGGAATTCTTTTTGCGTCCTGTTAATGTTGAAATAATAACAAAATTAAGATTTTTTTTCATCAAACTCAAATTTTGTTACACTCCTGTATTTAGTTATGATGTTAAAAATTTACCGCTAGAGGACTTGACATCTTCTCTAAAGACTGCAATATTCGCCGAGCTGTTGAACTGGTCACACCATAAGACTGTGCATTGAGTTGCTTAGCTTTCATCTGTCTTCTGACTGGTGCCTATAAAGTAAACCCTATGTTATCTGTTGCAAAGTAAAATGTAAGGCACATATTTCATGCAATGAAAATATTTACAAGATATAATGGATGTCCAAAGTAAAATAAGATTAATGTGTTAACAGCAACTTATCTTTGGGTGGTGTCATTAGCAGTAAGTTTTTTTTTTTTTCCTTTATGCCTTTATTGAAATTCTCTGCCTGAGAAATCACTGTTACAATCAGAAAAGAGTCATCTTGCATGCACCACTCTAAAGAAAGATTGCCAGTTATGTTACATGGAGAAAAGAGGTCAAATGGTAAAAAGTTCCAGCATAGCCTTGATCCACTTATCCCTTATATTTAAATCAAAGAACATTAAATAAATGAGAACTGAATTAAGATATCAGTTATCCTGGGTATTAAATAACATGTAATTAGAGTAAATTCCAAGATAGCTAAATGAAGAGACTGTAGAATCTACTACAATGGAAATTTAAAATTTTAATACTAATAACTTGTTTCTCAAAAGTTAACATAACCAACAAAACATATTTAAATACTTGGATATTTCTTAATATTAAAAAATGGCTTTTTTAACTTTCTTAAATCTGGGGTTAGAAAAAATAACTTATAAAGAATAGGCAAGTACTCTTTAATATACGAGCAATAAATACGCTTCCTTTTCTCAAGAATGCATTACAACATTCCGATAAATAAGAGGCTACCACAAAACCAAGTAATTTGGCAATAAATATTATAAAAAAGATAATATCACAATCAAAATATAACCCTGTTTTTATAAACAGCTTAAAATATCTGAAAAATTGAACCATAACTACTTTAAATAATATCTATCAGATGCCAAATATTCATTACATTTTCAGAATAGCTGCAATATTCTACATTAGTTTTATGAAGAATCTGGTGCCCACTAAGGATTACTAGTCAGGCTAGAGGCTTTGGCAAACGTGAAGAAAAATTAAAATATCCTCCAAGGAAAAAAAAGAATAAAGAATAAGAAAGATAACAACAATAAATAAAAATATAAATATATATATACACACACACACACACACACACACACACACATACATACCCTCCAGGAAAATATGACAGCCTGTCCTATCACTAGAGTCTACTGGCCTCTCATGGCCTCAGTTCACTAATCAATAAAATGGAACTAAATTTGAGAATCTTTACTCCCAGCTCTGACACTCTAAAGAAGGAATAGCAAATAGATTTTATCCCAAATGTCAATTGCAAATATTTGGAAGCCTGTGTTGAGGACAATTCTAAGGGTATGTCAGGACTTAGCATTAAAAAGTATAGGACTTGGGGGAGAGGGAAAAAAAAAGTGTAGGACTCAGTATTAGCAATGAAGAAAGAAGTAGCAAGAACATACTCTATCTATTCTACGAAGCACAGGCTTGCATCATCTTAATTTCTAACATGCTGAACTATTTTAATTATAAAAACTTTTAAAAGTAATATGATCCAGCTTGAGCTTTAGAAAAAGCACCCTGCATAACTCCAACATCCAGTTAACACTTTCTTTTATAACAAAATATTGTCTTTCATAAACACACTCAGAAATAAGCCTCACGATTACTTTTAATTAGGTATGGAAGAATCCTCTAATCAGGAAAGCAAGTGACTACTCTAAAGACAAGAAAAAATCTTCAAATATACTCATTTCAAAGTCATTCCTATGTTTGTCATAAATTGTCATCTTAAGACTTCCCTCTCCAAAGGCCTACACGCAGAAAGTATTACCTCTCACCTTTAAAATGTCAAAATCTGTAATGTATAAAAATAAAAGTACCATAGCAACATACACACAAAATATTTATGGTACTCAAGAAAATAGTAAGACATACCAATTGATTGAGTTTATGGTAAAAAAAAATTTTTTTTAAATAGGACAAAGCACAGAATGATGTGATTTACCTTAAATTGACTGTTCTTAAAGTTATTAATCAATTTCCAACTGTGTGCTGCTACTACATGTATGTAAACACAACTGATTTTATATATTGCCCTTGTATCCTGTGATCTTACTAAAATCACTCACTGGGAGCCTTTTTTGCTAGTTTCTTCAGATTTTCTATGCAGATAAGCACATTGTCTATGAATAGAAATGACTTTATGTCTTCCTGTATGCCTTGTATTTCATTTTCCATGGCTATTGCACTGCCTACGATCTGCAGTACAATGTTAAATAGTAGCAGCGATAGCAATCATCCCTGCTCTCTTCCTGATCTGGGGGAGACAGTGTTCAGTCTTTCACCATCAAGTACAATTCCAGCAAAAGATTTTTTGTAGATGTGCTTTTATTAGGTTGAAGATGTTCTTATCTATTTCTAGGTTTGCTGAAAATTTACCATGAATGAATGTTAAATTTCATCAAATGTTTTATAATCTATGGAGATGTTCATATGGTTTTTACTCTTTAGTCTGTTAACATGGTAGACTACATTATTTTTCATATGTTGAGCCAACCTTGCATTCGCATGATAAATCCTACTTGATTATAATGTAGTTTCCTTTTATATATGTTGAATTAAATTTATAAATATTTTGTTGAGAAGGTTTGTGTCTATAATTCATTAGAAATATCAGTTTGTAGCTTTCTTGTATATAATGTCTTTGATTTTGGTATCAGGGTAATGTTACCTCATAAAAGTGTTCCCTATATGTATTAAGTGTTCTACTATATGGAAGAGTTTGTGTAGAATCAGTATAATTTCTTTCTTAAATGTTTGGTAGAATTCACCAGGAAGCCATCTGAGACTGAAGGTTTCTTTGCTGGATGGTATTTTAACCACGGATTCAATTTATTGAAAAGACTATTCAAGGCTATTTATTCTTGGCTAATACCAAATAACATGAAGCACTTAGGTATAAATCCAACAAAATACATTCAAGGTCTATATGCTGAATACTACAAAACACTGATGAAAGAAATTTTAGAAACACCTAAAAGGAGAGAGATACCATGTTCATGGATTGGAACGCTCCGTTTTGCTAAGATGTCCATTCTCCCCAAGTTGATCTTTAAACCCAATGCAATACCAATCAAAATCCCAGCAGACTCTGTAGAAACCAATAGCTAATTTAAAATTTTTATAGAAAGGCAAAAGACCTAGAAAAGCCAAAACAAGCCTGAAAAAGAACAAAGTTAGAGGACTCATATTATCGGATTTTAAGACTTACATAAATCAAAACACTGCAATGTTGGCAAAAGGACAAACATACAGATCAATAAAAAAAACCAGCAAGTCCAAATGTAGAACCGGGTAAATAGTAAACTGCTTTTTGATAAAAGTGCAAAGGCAATTCAATGGGTAAAGTATAATCCTTTCAACAAACTAGAACTGAGCATCCACATGTAAAAAAAAAATGAACCTTGACCATACCTCATACCACACACAAAAACTGACTCAAAATGAATCATAGGCTTAAATTCAAACCTAAAACTTTGAAACTTCCAGAAGAAAACATAAAAGAAAATCTCTGTGACACTGGATTAGTCAAAAAATGTTCTAGATATGACACCAAAAACACGAAACCATAAAAGATGTCATCAAAAGTAAAAGCTTCTGCTCTTCAAAAGACAGTGCTAAGACAAGCCAGAGAATGGTAGAAAATATTTGCAAAACATGCATCTGATAAACGACTTATAACCTGAAAAATGAACCCTCAAACTCATTAATAAAAAAACTACCTATTTAAAAATGGACAAAAGATTTGAACAGACACTTCACCAAAGAAGATATATTGATGGCAAATAAGCCCATGAAAAGACACTCAACATCATTAGTCATTAGGGAAATGCAAATTAAAACCACATGAGTTCATGCCTACTAGAATGGCTGAAACAAAAAACAAAAAATTGACAACACCAAATGCTGACAAGGATGCAGAACAACTAGAACTCTCCTACGTTACTAGCAAGAATGCAAACTAGTACTAGCTATGCTGGAAAACAGTTGGCAGTTTATCATAAAGTTTATTGTGAACTTACCATATGACCCAGCAATCCAACTCCTAGGTATTTACTCCAAGAGACACGAAAATAAGCATTCACTCAAAATGTTCACTGCAGCTTTATTTGTAATTGCCAAATACTGGCAATGACCCAGTACCCTTTCACTAGTGAATGATAAACTAAATTACAACCATACTACACAGCAATAAAAAGGAACTAATTGTTAGTATATGAAAAACAGGGGATCCCAAATGCATTATGCTAAGTGGAATAAGCCAGACTCAAAAGGCTACATACTACATGAGTAAATTTATATGACATTCTGGAAAAACCAAAACTACAGGGAAAGAAAACAAATCAGTGGTTGCTCAAGGGTGGTACTGGGAGGAGGGCTTGACTACAAAGATGCAATGAGGTAATGTTTTGGGGTAATGGAAATCTTTAATATTTTGATTGTTGGGGTTGGGGTTAGGAAGTAATTGGGTAAGGAAAACAAAGAGTAATTATAATACGTAATGATGAATATGCTAATAAAACTGATTTGATCATCACATACTGTACATAAATACTGATAATCACCTCTGTACACCATAAATATGTATAATAAAAAAAATTAGTAATTGGGTAAGGAAAACAAAGAGTAATTATAATACGTAATGATGAATATGCTAATAAAATTGATTTGATCATCACATACTGTACATAAATACTGATAATCACCTCTGTACACCATAAATATGTATAATAAAAAAAAATTTTTTTAATATTTTGATTGCAGAAGTGGTTACACAACTGTATGTTTTATTAAAATTCAAATACTCTAATGAGTAAATTTTACTGTGTTTAATTTATACCTCATTAAAAAAAAGAAATTAACCTTCACGCTTCCTAAGACTCACACATAAATCTAACAACAAAATGTTTACTTAAACCTAAAGTAATATCCATATGCCCTAAATGAAAAAATGTAATCCACAGTTCTATTGTTTTAGCAAAGAACAATTAAAACTATTTTTTTTGAGTACGAAGTAGTCACTCATTATCTACTAGTACTAGTAGTTGTCTAGTTAAAGGTGGGGAAGAGGGCTATAAACCATTCTCCTATTCAAACCAACCTGATAAGGTATATTTTGTAGTCTAGACTGCCTTACAGCAGCTGCTGCCCCACCATATGTTGTTTTTCCAGGATAAAAAGGAGAGTCTCCAAGCTGACTTGTTTTAAGGACTGAAGAATTCCCAAGTGACTGCAAAGAAACATAACGATAAATTATGAGCAATAAACACTCATAACTAATGTGATTAAATCCAATCTAGTTAGTACTCACGGGGGAAAGTGTTCCAAAGGCAGACAAGTTGAATGCTGGTTTTCTTGAGCTGGTGGCAGTGTGCTGAGAGAGCAAATGAGAACGTTCAGCCTCTGGGGACCACAAAGGTGGCAATGAAGTGTTCTTTGAAACAGCTATATCTGAAACAGAAATATGTAATGTATAGTAACAGCACCAATTACCAGATCTTTATAAACAGAAAATGAAAATTACAGATAAGTCAGAAAAAACTTTGTCCCATGAAATTTAATTTTATTACCAAAATTATTTACTATGAAATGCCAAGAATACCTTTATCAGAAGCTCTTGAAGAAAAACCACTGGTAGTTGAGATGTTATCATCATCATGCTGAGAGGTAGAGTCTTTAATTTCCTTTACAAGGGAAAATCCAGAACTGCCAATTGGGAATGCCGAAGATGTAGATGGCTGACAGTGTAATGTAGGAGATTCCAACATGGAGAAATTCAGATGGCTCCGATGAAGAGAAGGCCTTGTTAATACATCTGGATAATTTGAAGCACTACTAGTTGTTGAAGGTTCTTAAGAGAAAAGCATTATTATAAATATACAACTTAGAAAAATATGCTATCACAATAAAATAGTTTTCACTGTAAGAAAACATACTACTTAATGTAGCTTCAATTCAAATCACTGAGGCCTCCCATGAAAAGCCCAATTTAAGATATTCTTTAGCCAAACAAGGTTTCGACTAACTGAAATTAATTTACTTAAACTAGTATCAAAATGTAGTTCAGTGATCACATACAACTTCTAAAAGAGCATGGTTCTTGATTTTCCTTGAATAGGTGTTATTATAAGAACTGCTCATAAAAAATACAATTAAAGAAGCTGTATAAGAAAGTCATAAAACAACAGGGATAAGTCTGTCCCTCTAAAAAATCCACTAATAAACTAGTATTATCATTGCAGATATTGTATTACGCACATACAAATACACATTTCCTCTAAACACATAATTATGTTATGCATCCTGTTCCGTGACTTGCTTTTTCATTTACCAATAAAATTGTTTTCACATTCAAAGCATTCTCTTTAATCATTTTTTTTTTTTTTTTTGCAGCTGGCCAGTACAGGGATCAAACCCTGGACCTTGGTGTTATCAGCACCACATTCTAATCCACTGAGCTAACCAGCCAGCCTTTAACATTTAACATTGTGTTACCTGGTTCATCCTGCCGGTAAAACAAACAAACAAACAGGCTGGGCACTTAGCTCACTTGGTCAGAGTATGGTGCCAGTTCACCAAGGTCAAGGGTTCAGATCTCCACACCGGTCAGCTGCCAAAAACAAACAAACAAAACTACACTGTATTCTATCGTACTATCATAGTGATTTATTATAATTATTTATTCAGTTATTTTTCCATTAGTCTTTCAAACATGTATGTACTATTATCTGCATACTTCACTGTGCTCTAACCAAGTGAGCTAACCACCTAGCTCTTAAAGTATGCAAGGAGAATCATGAAGAGAAACTATTAAGCTAATATTCATGAGCCACTCACAAAAAATATGATTTAATATGTCTGAAGTTGGGCCCATTAATTAGCCTACGCAGTCCCTGGAATCCTGAGAATCAGTGGGATAAACAATTATATGTGGAATTGCTCTGTCAGATTGGATTAAACTGAATGCTCATTTTTTCTCATGACAGACGTTAAACTGTGATTCAAAGGATTTCCTGACAAGTTATACTCCCACAAATAGCAAATAACAATGTACATTTCCCCATAATCTCTAACACAGTCAATCTAATATGTTAAATGGCAGCATTATTTGATTTGCATTAACTTAAATAAGGGGGCTTTTGAGCATCCTTTATATTCATTGGCCATTTATACTTCTGTTAATTGCTTACTGACACAGTCTCTCTTACTAATAAGACAAATAAGATTTAACTTTTTTGATGAGTAACATCAACATGATATGAAAGCTGAAATACTATTTTTTCTTAGTTGGTTGAATTCATTCACTTTTTTTTTTTTTTTTTTTTTTGGCAGCTGGCCAGTACAGCCCTTCACTTTTTTTGATGTTATCTTATAATACAAAAAATAACCTGTACCTTGTTTACAGAGTCTTTTACCATTTCAAGACTATAAAAAATAAAAACTTTCACCTTTTTTTTTTTTTTTGGTACTGTTGCTTTTATTACTGCAGTATAATGTTTAGGGCTGGCCAGTTAGCTCAGTTGGTTAGAACACAGTGTTATAACACCAAGATGCAAGAATTCCTGTTCCTGCCAGGCACCAACCCCCCCCCCCCCAAAAAAAAACCCCAAGATCAATATAATGTTTAATCTTGAATCCACCTGTAATCAGTTATGTCTAATCTTGAATCTCCCTGGAATCAGGAGTGAAGGAAGGATTCAGCTTTGTTGTTTACCAAATGGTTAGCCTATTTATATCCTAAAATTATCTATTAAGTAAGCCATCCTTTCCTCACTGGTTGAGAAGCCACTGTTACCACATACTAAATTCCAAGAGGCTTCACTCCTCTTCCTCTAATGATTTCTTTATTTCTGTATCAGTACCATAATGCTTTAAACACTACAGCTTTAGAACATTTTTTTTTTTGGCAACTGGCCAGTACAGGGATCCGAACCATTGACTTTGGTGTTATCGACACTGCACTCTAAACAACTTGAGCTAACCAGCCAGCCCTTTAGAACACATTTAAAGCCTGTTAAAGTTACTCCAACCCACCTCACTTTCCCCTAATTCTTCTTTTTCAGAATTTCTTTACTCTCTTCAAGTACATTTTCAAGAACTTTGAATCATTTGTCAAGTACCCCAAAGAGGCTTCCAGTTAGGATGGAATAACTGGGACCATAGTAGCCCTTCTACGGTAAACAACTAAAAAACTGGAGAAAATGTATAAGGCAACTGCTTTCGGACAGGAGAAAACAGCACAAGAAAACTCACAAGGCAAGCCCTATGATTAGCCAGCTCTCTGCATAGGAACATTTTCAGACCTGGAACAGAGACCTAGAGTCCAAGCAAAACACAGCAGGCAGAAATCTGAACTAAGGGCATGAAATAGTAGGGCACTGTGCAAAGACAGAAGTCCATATAGGAATGTCCAGTGAATGGATAGGCTGTACATATACAAAGCAAGATCACCTAAGGCTTACCAAATAGCAGCTGCTATGCAGCTGAGAAAAGAAAATAGAGATACTAGAAGGTGAACAGTGTTTGGGGAAAAAAACAATGCTGAAGACTGAAAGTTCCAGGGCTGACAGGATTTACAGATCCCTTTAACCCTTCCCTGGCATTTGGCTAAGACAACAAAAAGCTTCCCCTTTGAATTAAGAACTATATTCCAGAATAAGACCTACTCTTAGACCTGACCTAAAAAGCCATAGGTGAGACAGAGTTTGAAGGCTAAGTTCCACCACATCATGGGACTTAGGAAACACCCTGAACTTCCCACAAATACACATTAACACTGCAAAAAACTACATCTACAAAAATTCAAAATGATCGTTCAGTAACTGATTTGCCTGCCAAAACAATAATCAACACTCTTCAGGGGAAGATAACATAATCCACAGTATCTACACATATTCAAAACACTAATATTTAGTCAAAACTCACTTGATATACTTAAAAAAGAAAAATGTAATCCACAGTGGGGGAAAAGTAAATAAAAACTTTAACCCAAGACAGCAGATAAGCTATTTTGACAGCCTTATAACACCAAGATCATGGGTTTGCATCCCAAACTGGCCAGCCACCAAAAAAAAAAGTAGCTATTTTGAATATATTAAAAGTTCCTAAAAGACCCATTAAGATTATCTCAACTAGGATCACACTGAACTTAAGATTTAAAAAAGGAAACCATACCATTCCCACCACTGTTTTCCTATCCACCTTTTCTTTTATTCAGGTCTCCTTTATGTATCTCAGCAGAACTTAAAGGAATTTCTTCTAGAGTGCCACACGCTTATTATTTCAAATGTTTTCATTTTTTGATATTGTAAATGGGATCCTTTCTTCCATGTTCTCTAACTGGCTATTATTTAAATAAGAGTTATTTAAAAATTAAACTTTACTTTGTGACCAATTTCTAGAATTCTCTTATTCTAAAATACATCCTCTTATCTAATTACATTTTTAATATCTAGATGTGGTGATGATGGGCTTCCATCTTATTCCTAACTTTAATGGAAATGCTCCTAATGTTTCACCATTAATCATTATTCTGGTCTTTGGTTTGAAAGACTGACATGTTAAAAAATTAGTAGTTTCTACATTCCAAACAGAAATAAAAAAGAATGGATTTAAAATTTTAGCAAGTGCCCACTTAGTATCCATTAAAAAGAAAAAATTTATAAGATCATTCTACTTATCAACATGCTAAATTATGTTTGTAATTCCCTAACATTGAATGATTCCTTGCATTCCCCTAAGTGTCTAACTATTTTTGAATGTGTCGCTAGGTTATATTTGCTACTCTGCAATTTTCTTCTATGTGCAACCTTTCTAAAATTTGTCTTCAAAAAATATTTAACAGCTTAAGCAATACAAAACAATCCTGGATTAATTAGTTTCAAAGTACTATTATACCAAGCAAACGCACTCAACAAACTACAATTAGAAGAAAACTACCTCAACATACTAAAAGCCATATATGAAAAACCCACAGCTAACATCATACTCAGTGCTAAAAGACTGAAAGATTTCCTTCTAAGATCAGAAACAAGACAAATATGCCCATTTTTCCTCTTCTATGCGACACAGAAATTCTAGCCAAAGGAATAAGGCAAGAAAAAGGAATAAAAGGCAACTAAATTGGAAAGGAAAAGGTAAAATGCTCTGTTTGCAGATGATAAAATTTTTTATGCAGAAAACCCTAAAGATTCCACAAAAAGTTGTCAGAATAAATGAATTCAGCAAAGTACCAGAATACAAAAATCACACAAAAATCATTGTTCCTGTACAGTAAAATAAACAACCTAAAAAGTAAATTAAGGGCCGGCCCGTGGCTCACTCGGTAGAGTGCGGTGCTGATAACACCAAGGCCCCGGGTTCGGATCCCATATAGGGATGGCCGGTTCGCTCACTGGCTGAGCGTGGTGATGACAACACCAAGTCAAGGGTTAAGATCCCCTTACCGGTCATCTTTTTAAAAAAAAAAAAAAAAAAAGTAAATTAAGAAAATAATTCCATTTTATAATAGCATAAAAATAATAAAACACTTAGGAATTAACAAAGGAAGTAAAAGACTTACACAATGAAAATGACAAAACATTGCCTAAAGAAATTAAAGAAAACATACATAAATGGAAAGACATCCCACATTCATGAACTGGAAGATTTAATATTGCTAAGATGTCAATACATCCTACAATCTACAGATTTAATACAATCCTTATAAAAATATGAACATTTTTTGCAAAAATAGAAAAACCCATCCTAAAATTCATATGAACTCTCAAGGGACCACAAATAGCCAAAATAATCTTGAAAAAGAAAAACAAAGTTGGAGGTCTCACACTTCCTGATTTCAAAACTTATTAT